TATGCTATTCGAAGGCACTTTACAAGACAATTTATTTTTAATTTATTTAATAAATTAATTCAATTTTCGGACAGAAATGGATACATGTTCGAAAGTTGAAATGAATGGCAAAAGAAGAATGTTTCATTGTCGGACGTAAACAAATAAAAGTGTATCCATTTAAAACTTTGTCACCAAACTTTGTTGTTATGGAGCGAGAGAGGGAGGGGAGAGAAAACCAAAACCATTGCATTGATATGTTTGTATTTGTATTTAAGGGAGACTGTGTGTGTATGAGTGTCTACGATTTCCATTTGTCCGTGTGACACTAATGTCTTCTGACATTCAAAACTGCCAACACGATAAGCTCCATTGACTTTTGGTTGGACGCACGCATACACAAAAGCATACACAATGGGTTTTGCAGCCGCAGTATGCAGGATGGTCTTGTATGTACTGTATATGTGTCTGGCTAACCTATGGGCAGACAGTCGGACTGGCAATGAAGGTGAAATAACTGTCACCAACAGAAACAACTGCAATATTCCTCCCAACACATACACATGCACATTTATACCTGCCGAATAACATAGAAGCGTAAACGTTTAGTTATGGTTGACCGAAAACAACCAACATTTTTGTAAATGTAATTTTCAAAAAAAAAAAAAATTAAAACGATAAACTTTTAACAATAAACCATTAAACTTCGTGACAGCTAAATCGAGGACTTAGTAGAATATTAATGAGGTACTTTTCTCATATAAACGAATTGAATTGTAAAAGTTACGATTGAAAAAACAATTATCTGATACCTGACACAGTGGTACATGTGTATTCAGCACAATGCAAAAAAACGAATCATGACATATTGCGTACAAGGTCTGCTATATACTTTTGGCTTCGACAACACCAAGTGTAGTGTGGATTGACAACTTTCGACGTGGATTATCATGACATTTTTTCATTGAACACTTCTTCCACGAACATACATTCGGAATGGCATGAACGCAGTTTTACAATCGCCAAAAAAAAAAACAAGAACAAAAATTCGCAGCTTCAAAAGACACATATATACATTTTATACAACAGCAAAACAGCAATCGGTTGTGTGTGACTTCGAAGACAAGCCAAATCCAACGAAAGTTGTTCATTCTGCTATGCGGCGATTGAACCGTATAATCAACGTAGGACGGTCAGTTCTAAATGGTACATCACAAGTTGTTGGCCTAAAGTCTCTAAAGAAATTCGAAAAACGAACAAGAGAAGACGAATCGTTGTGCATCATTACAAAGCGACTCCTCTCACACATCGGATCAAACCATTTTTAACCGGTCATCTGCCGTACAATTCTGACTTGGCACCCAATGACTCCTTTTAATTCCTGCTTATCAGAAAAAAGACGTGGTGAACGATTGCCGTTTTCAGAAGATAATACGAGCGCTTTCAAGCGCATAAAATATTATATAAATCATCATGGAATCTAATTTAAACCAGTAAGGAAATTAGTAAAGTCGGAATGGGCCGAATATATGATACCCTTCAACACTTTGTGTATATTATACATATGTATCCGAACTTAAATATGAGATATTTATCTATAAGTAAACCGAAGAACATTAATCCCAACACATGCCATTTTGCAAGCTATTCTAAATTTTGTAAATAGATTTAAAAGAAATTTTACACAATGCAAATCGAAAGATATATGGGACTTCAGTGCACCGAAAATTATTACTAATGTTCAGTACAGCCCTTCTAATTACTTGTCCAGATACCCTTCCCTTGTGTTGTGATCCTCTTATTCCTATTGGAGCCTATACATCGACTCGAAAAAACACAAAAGATTTAGTTTTCGGTCCACTTCATCACAATATAATTATCTGATCGGCACCGAAAATTGTAGGAACTAACTGGAACTTCATGGAACATTTTAAAGCGATCAGCGCTATATTTCCACCCTCTAGTGTGATAAAGGGTTACTAAAATAATATCTAAATACATAAGCACTTGTAAATATTGAAGTGTAACTCCCACATCTGAGTACATACGACCATATAATTGGTATCAATTTAAAGGTCAACCACTGCCCTTGGATATACCAACAACTTTTCGGGTCGATGTCCTTCAGGGGTAAATCTATTCGCCATAGAATACAAATTTTGTAATTTTTCACTCAAAAGTCGGGGTCCATTTGGCCCGCTAATCAAAACAGGCATGCTTATTCTTTGGCCCGATCCCCTTCCCTATGCAAAAATTCGCGATGTTTAAACCATAATTGCGGCCTCTGGAGCGACCTGAAAATCAGACAAAAATAAAGTTTTTGGTCCATTTCATCCTCTAAATATTAACTGATCTTTCCCAAAAACAATAGGGGTCTTCAATGGCCAGAACACATCCTACATGCAAAGTTTCGTGAAGATTGGTCCATAACTGTGGCCTGTATCGTGTTTACAAATTATAATGGACAGACGGACGGACAGACACTTGTCTAGATCGGCTCCGTTAGACGAGATAAGACGATCGGTATACTTAAAGGTGGGTCTAGGACCAATTTTTTGGCGCGTTACAAACTTTTGGGACTACACAAAGCTATAATACCCTGACAACATAGTTGGGTAGGGTATAATTAATACCACCTGAAGACAAATGGAAAATCATATGAAAATCATTTGATAAAGATCGGTCAATATTTAGCGGGTCAAATGGACCTTGACTTTTGTGTGAAAAATGACAAAATGTGTATTCTATGGCGTATATATTTGCCCCTGAAGGACCTAGACCCAAAATATATTGACCTTTAGTCATATAATACCCTTCGCAAATTGCGACCATATAACGGGGCCGACCATAATAATATGGTCGGCCTCGTCCGACTATACTGCTCCGCTCACTGGTTTTTAATAATAGTTAGGTTAGACTGGGTAGCATTTTGTTTAGAGCTCTGTATCTCAGTACTTATTCAACAGAATCATAACAATTTTGTGGCTGGTTATTGTCCTCAGATAGATACATACATACATACAAATTCGTATCAAAACATATTATGTATTGGTATTAGTAAAATATTTCTACAGTTTTGTCACTAAGAAAAATACGTACTTTGGGTCTTATGCTTGTAATTTCTACCCGTATTAAAGAATTTTGTAAAGACAAATATAAAAACAGTTAGAGGAAAATATTATGTTGCCATTTCAAATTGCCGAATCTACCCAAATGTATTTTTCTAGTTCTATTCAATTTTTCTCACCAGTATTCAAAAAAGATTATGGTTTTACTGATTTTTATAAGAATATACATTGCAATTAATGTTATAACATTATAACATTTTTATTTTTTAATTGGTCTTTGGATACTACTGTGTCAGGTTACTACAAATTTTAAATTTGGATAAAACATACCTGTATACAGTGGTCAATATGGGTCTAACTTTTGATTAATAGTAAACGACCATTTTCTATAATATAATACTATAATACTATAATTCACCATGGATCCTGCTCTGCCAAAAATAATAATCTCTGCAAAACATTTACCTACACCGTAAAAAGTTCTAATGGCTGATATTAATTTGACATGACTATAATTAGTCGGTACCTCCGCCACAACACGAAAGTGAACAACAACAACCCACTAAATTACCTTAACAACAACAATAATATTAAAAAATTACCAAAAACAAATACCATTTAAATGGCATCACAAGTACATACGCAATTTGCCCATAAGGATGGTATTTTATATAAAATGAGGCAGAGAGTAGGCATGACATTTTATACAGCATTAATTGGTATAAAATTCGAATAACAAGGCCATAACACAAAAAGCATAAAACACAAACACACACACGCACACGCACATAGAGCAGAAAAGCCACCGCATATTTTTCCAACTATGGAACGAATTACACAACAACAAAAAACACAAACAAACAAACAGGCAAACAGGCAAGCAAGCAGCCAGCCAACCAGTCCACCAACCACTACTAACACTAAACGCTCTAGCCTAATCAATGTGTAATGTGATTTAATAAAATACCATAATTTGATTTTATTACAGCCACAAAATTCACAACAGCATCAAGAGAGCAGTCATAACAATAGCAATAAAAACAAAACACAAACAAGTAAACAACAGCCCATACAACTAACCAACCCAACGACCGACCAACCGACCTTCCAAACCCAACTAACTAACAGCAGCCAAGCGTAGCATCCAACAAAAAATAACAACAAAACCGTTTCATCAAATGTCCAAACTAAATTTGCTAAAGCCCAAACAAGCAACAAGTGAATAGAACCAGTTCACATACACCCATACAACTGTACTAATACTATTACAACTACTAATACTACTACTTCTACTAAAACGTCAATTAAAATTTAACAAAACAAAATTTGTGTAGCCTCCAGCCAATGAGACCATAATACGACCGCATGTAATTAACATTGGCATACTTGTTCCAAAAAGCAGCATCAACAACTACAACTACAACAACGACAGAATCAACCCATCTGAATTGTTTGTGTAATACAACTCTCAAGCCTATGTATGTACGTGTGTATGTGTGTGTGCCTTTGATGCTTGATCACCGCACTCAACTTATTTAATATTGTCCTCAGTGGGCTCACCATTTAATACAACAAAAATCCTGTTAATAAAATTACACTCGCATACTGGCTCACATGTACGCACACTCACACAACAGGCACAGACACGCAACAAGGCCAGTAATTAAGTCATTCAGCGACCACAAAGAAGAATAGGCCACAGCTACAAGGACGTACACTGGGGCTATAAACCACAATAACTTATCGCAAATATTATTTGTTTGACCCACCAACAAACTGAAACACACACTTTCGGTATCTTCACAGCCTGCCATACAAAGCCCCCAACCCCTTCGGAGAACCACAAATTTTACCCTCCCACTTGATTAAGTGAAAGTTGCCAAAATAGCGCTACATTGGAGAAAATTAAAAGAGCACATCTTGCAAACACGGACCCATAAACCACATGAACAGGTCGAGGAGGCATCATTGTCCACATATCAGGCTTTTGGTGGCGATATCCAGCCAGAGCCACTGTCGAACAATCATGAAGCTATAGACAGGTTGCAGCAGCAACAAGGACAATCCCCACATCATCCTTCCCCCCATCATCATCATCATCAGCAGCAGCAACAACAGCAGCAGTATCAGTTTCAGCCATACCATCATCATACCTCTCCCTTGGCTAAAACGAATTTAGGACACCACCAACAACAACAGCAACAAAGTGCAGTTGCTGTTGCAGGTGGTTCTTCGGCCGTTTCGTCTAATTCGACAGCAACAAAAACTGCAGCCACGGCGACTACAGCGGCCAGACGATATTCCCGGTTCGAATGCACGCCAGATGAGTTGGAACGACGTGTGAGCAGTGGTAGTACAGGTGCAGCAAGTTCCGGCGGTAGTGTTGGCAATATTTTCGGACGATCAGTGGGATCCGGTGATCATCAAAATAGTGGGATTAGCAGTAGTGGTGATGTAGGTCAGAAACAACAGCAACAACATCAGCAGCAACACCAACAGGCGACACAATACATTGGTGCACGTTCCTATGCAGAGGCCAGATTTAAACGTGGCAGTGTTTACGGTGATACATCGAATAAATATTCAACGATTGGTGGCAGTAGCAGTAGTGGTATTAGTGGCAGTTATGCCAGTGGTCTGGATGCCAGTCAGAGAGGTAAGTAAAGCTAAATCGGGAATAAATCTAGGCCAATTGATAACACAAAATCGATGCGACATTAAAAAAAAAAATAAAATCGAGCAGAGTGAAATGTGTTGTATAAATTGAAATTTTACAAAAATTAGGATTAACAATTAAAATTAAAAAAAAAAATGTGAGTAACATCAGAAAACTATATTCGAAATGTAGTGGTAACTTCTTGTAGTATTTTATAAATTATTTTCTAATATGTACTTTATGTGCTGAGAAAATTTGCAGACACTGAGAGTGAAAAAATGTGGCTGGTAGCTTCAATATACAGCGAATTAAAAATGATCTTTGTAAGCGGCATATTTCTGTCCATGCATGGTCTTATATTTTCTGGACAATTTTTTTTAATCACCAGGAACTGATGATATTCCAGAGATTACAGCCACTTCGGTGGGAAAATACAATTCAAACCTTAAAAATACAGAAAATTCGGATAATATGGAGCCTATGTAAAAAAGATAAATCAATATGAAAAGCAATGTGCAAACTCGAAGAACACCATACACCAAATTCTTTTCGACGACGGACAGGGTAGGCGAATGTCAAATTCCCTCGCAATTTAAAAGAGTACATAGCTGGCTCTTTTATGAACTAGGATTATTGATTTCGCTCCAAAAATTAGCAGAATTTTGTACCCAGGAAAATTATTTATTTAAAACCCAAGGTGGAAAATAAGAAAGATATTGGAAGATTATTTTCATTTTCCCTAGTTCATACAATACATATGTAGGTCCATAATGACGTGTAATAATTTGGAACTAATTGGATTTTTTGAAACCGATAAAGGAGGAGTCCCATAAAACAGTTCACACACAATACAGCCCGAAGAAATGTTATCTGAAAAATTCACGCTTTTATAAACCGCATCTTCAATATAAACCAAACGATATTCTCTAAAATTCCGATATTAAATAGGGCCCGAAAAAATATTCCTTAAAATCCAGGGCTCTAATATGGCCCGAAATAATATTATTGATAAATTTCGCACCTTTGATATGACTCAGAAAATATATTATGTCTTGATTTAGATTAGACGAGTTTACTTGCGGCAATTCTTGTCGTTCTCTTTTGAACTTGCTTCGTGCGTTTATACAAGGCAATTCGGTTTCCAAAATATTTTTCTATTTGTTGTTTTTTCACAAACCTTTAACAGGGCCGGACAAAATATTCAAAAATTCTACATGACAAAATACAATTTGGAAACTTCAAATAAATATTATCTAAAAAATCAATTTCATTAATAGTCTCAAAAATATTCTTTAAATATTCCGTAAGGCTCAAAACAATATACCATGCATATAACACTGTGCGACCAAATTTTGGTGGGCGAAAAATTCGTATTGGGGATGAAAGACCTTGGTGAGTATATAACCAGTAAGGAAAGTTCAAAAGTCGGACGAGGCCGAATGTGATACCCTTCACCACTTTGGGTACATACAAGAAATGTTAATATCTACAATATCCTGGAGGACCCTTGAAATAAAATCGGGCGAAATAAAATGTGCTATCTATATAAATATTTGAACCAATTGAAAAACCCCATACACATACCATTCTGAAATCAATGAAAAATTTCATGTCAAACGGACAGACATGGATTCTTGGGTGTACCATTTGTATGAAATCGAGTCAAAATATGTATGGGAAATTATCCGATTTGGATGAAATATGCCATAGCTCATTTATTTTGCACAGGGACGACCCCTATTGGAATTGGGTAAAATCGGTTCAGATTTAGATATAGCTCCCATATTTATTTTCGTCCGATTTAAGGTAAATGGTGTAACAAAGTCCCCATAAATATGTTTCGATTTGCACGAAATTTGGTATAGCCTATTGAATTAGGTCTAAAAATATGTGTGCTAAATTTCGTGAAAATCGTTTCAGATTTAGATATAGCTCCCATATATAGTTTCGCCCGATTTTAGGTAATTGGTGCACCAAAGTCCCTGAAAATCATTTGATTTACACGAATTTTGGCATATCGTATTGAATGACGTGAGCTAAGTTTCGTGAAAATCGGTTGATATTTAGATATAGCTTCCATATAAGGTTTAGCCTGATTTTAGGGAAATGGTGCACCAAAGTTCCTGCAAATATTTTGATTTGCATGAATTTTGGTATAGCGTAAGTCTGGTATGATGTGTACACCTCCTATATATATTTTCGTCCGATTTTAAGTTAATGGTACACTAAAGATCCATAGCTAAACCGATTGACACAACGTAGTGAAGTTAATATAAATTAATCTCTGGCAAGTTTGCTTGAAATCGGTTCAGATATAGATATATCGTAGCTTCCATATATATTTTCAACTTATTTATGTTAATTGTACACCAAATAATCAATAAGTGTCTGATTGAGAATAAATTTTAAACAGTGCAGCGTACCGAATAGCCTGTGTCAAGTTTGCTTAAAATCGATTTACACAAATCTGCCCTCCTGTGCGCAAACGACTCTAAACTTGCCCAAATGAAATGAAATTTAGCATAGGTTTCAGAAAGACATAAAAGTAACATATTTAAGTTCGTTCAATTTGAATTCCTTCAAAAAGGCGACGTCTTTCCGGATAAATGTGTAGAATATACCCAAAGTAGTGAAGGGTATCATATAGTCGGCCCAGTCCGACATTACTACTTTCCTTACTGGTTTGTAATCACTATATTAAATTTAATACCCTCTGCCAAATTTCGTGTAACCACCATTTACATAAAATCGAACGAAAATATAAGACCCAAAAATTTGAACCGATTTCAACAAACCTTATCACGCATCATTTTTTTCTCAATATCATTCAAATATTGGGAGTTTGGTGTATTATTCACAAAAAAATGGACGAAACTATATGTAGGACCTATATCTGAACAGATTTAAAAAAAACTTCGCAGATATCAGTCTGGATCTAATGCAATACTATGTGCAAATTTTGTCCCAATCGGACAAATATTGGGAGTTTGGTGTATCATTCATAAAAAATCGGACGAAACTATATATGGGAGCTATATCTAAATCTGAACCGATTTTTCCCAATTTCAATAGGGTTCGTGCTTGGGCGAAATAAGTGACCTATGCCAAATTTCATCCATTTCGGATCATAAATGAGACCTGTACTTTTTTAACAAAAATACATGGACGGACGGAAGGACGGACGAACGAACATGCATAATTCGACTTTAAAAGTGATTCTATGCATATTCTCAGAAGGAACCATGTGTCTATCTCGTTTCCTTTTGCCTGTTACAAACATATGCACAAAGTCAGTGTGATGAAGGGTATAAAAATACCTCTGAAAATTGCTAAACATTTCTTTAATATGACAATGACACCCATTCTTGTTTTTTTATCGTTGGAGGTTCTAACTATGTTTTCACTTATTTCAATGTTAGAAGAATAAGAATACATTTAAGAATTATTTGTACTCAACCGGACATTTTTACAGGATTACAGAAAACCCTGAAAAGTCTATTCAATAATTAAATGTAAGTTAAAACCGTTTTCCCTACTCCAAGCTTCCAAAACTCTAGGCCCATAAATGAAATAGAATGTTTTGGCGAAGAGATTTGTCACATGGGTACAACTACTATCCAAAAGTCAGTTTACACGTTATAACCACAAAATTATCTGTCATATCATGTGGCCCAACAACATTCGAACTCGAAGTTGTTGTTGTTGTTCTATAGCTCTTGTTATGGCTGCTGTTGACAATTTCATATTTGGGAATTTGAACTTGAATTACACTCCACAAATACACAGTGTCCAATGAATAACAAATTATGACAAATGGATGACACTACCGTATACCCACATAGAAGATAGGTAAACTCTAACCAAAATGTGTATGTAAAGGTGCAGAACTAACATTGGAATGATAGAAATTAAATTTTGCTAAAATTTGTAGATAGAACAATTGGGCATAACACTAAATTATTAGAAATACCTCTATTAGGTTCAAGTTCAAACCAGCATTTAACCTTACATGTCGTAGAAAACGCGCCGTCTATCGACGGTATTGGTCTTACGCATAGATTCACGATTCGTAACCTGTGATTAAAGTCTTCTGAAGTACCGAGATCATATTTTTTCTACGCACGAACCCATCGAGATCAAAAGCTTTATTCTGCCACCAGGTGTTCATGTACTATCGAACGCATACTGGGGGAAAAATGCCCAAGGGTGCCTCCTACTCATGGTTTGCCACATGACGATCTTGATTTAGCACATTACCCACTATATTCGCCTTTGAGCTTGTGTTGGCTATGATTGAATTCAATAAAAAAAGTTAATTAGATTCGTTATAGAATCGTTGACGCAGAAGTCAACATAGAGTCACTTGAGGGTAATATTTATAGACGAACCGATCATCGAAGACCAATATCGTCGATAGACGTTTTATACACATACGCAAAGATTCACGCCGATTCGCCTCTTGTGATTCAAGTCTTCTGAAGTACGGCGATCGTATTTTTTCTACGCACGAACCATTTTCTGGACATCAACAAGAACCTTTTGTGCAGAGAGAACAAAACCTTTGTTAACAGGAGACAAAAATCGGGTGTCGGAGAAAAAAATTATAATATTTCTGCGAATGAATATATTTTGTATTATGATAATATATTTTTCAAAATTATTTACGCAGTTTTGCCATATGTTTATATTTATAGTCTAATTCTGAGCAATGACTTTATAATTTCTAATTACCGACAATTTTTTGTATGGTAAGAGGGGTTTGCAACACATCATGCCAATTACGAACTTTATTTCAAAAAAAAAGAAATGTTACCAGAAATGTCCATAAACAACAAGCCCAATGGAATTTAATCCCAAATTAATTATGATGACATACTGAAATGTCTAGTCTCCTCCATTGACAATTTTCTTTTCATGCCAAAACTCGGCCACAAAATGTTGTTCGTTTTTAGTTTACCATGGAAAGGAAAATAACCGTAACCATGGTACGATTCTATGAATTTATGAGTGAACATAACTCTGCTATTGCACAATGCCCCCACTCTCATTCTCACTCCCTCTCTTATTGTTCGTCTTCTTCCAGGTACTGTGAATGGCTATGAGGTAACATCTAGCAAGCATACGGATGGTGATGGTCCAAAACGAGCACAGCAGGCACACACAGACGGTAGTAATACAGCACCAGCATCGTCATCAGCAACAGGTTCATATTCCGCAAATAGTTGTACCAACACACCTCTGAGGCAACGCCTGCCCTCGCAAGCCGGTCTCAGTGATCTGAGTGCAGCGAATCCTGGTATTTTTGTAGGTGGCATTGGCGGCAGCAACATTTATTGCAACAACATCCAGACACCCAGCACATTTAATAGCAGCAATCTAGGTGTCAATTATTCCAGTGTAGGCGGTGGTGGTGGTCCCAGTGCAGCAAGTGGAACCAACATCAACAGTAGTGGAGGCGGAGGTGGAAGTGGCGGTGGGGCAACTGGTACAGCATCAGGTCCTGTGGGTAGTGGCACAACCGGAAGCGGAGATTGTGGTACAGCATCTGCATCGGCAGCAGCAACAGCCTCAACACCATCAGGTGGCGGTGGCAACAGTGTTCCCAGACGCCAGGGCAGTTTTACGAATGTATTTTCGAAAATAATTGATGGTATGCCAGCCGGAACAATGTTTTCGAAATTCAAAAACGTCAACACCCCCGTTGTCCAGCAGACTGTCATCGATGGCAATCCCATTAAACAGTATTTTGACATTGGCAAACAGGTTGCCTGTGCTGGGCCAGAGTTGGCATGGAAAATCCATGAGGGACACCGGAAAAATGACGGAAAGGTAGGTTGTTGTCGGCAATACAATGGGTATATGTCGACTAACTGCAAATTCATTAGGGGGTAGACTAATGCTCACAAACAAAATGCACACACACACACAAATATATCGACCCGCATGTGGATGTGAACTGAGATGAATGCTGTTGCATTTCTTGAGTGACTGACTGACTGACTGACCGACAGACTGATTGTTTGTCTGACAGCATACAAATTGTTCTGTTGTTTCAATTATGTTTTCATTTTCATGCTGCCGTTGTTGTTGCTGTTTTTGTTTACCACCACATTCTGTTTTGTTACAGGAATGTTCAATATTTGTATTTGAGAAGAAAATTGCTGAAAAACTGCACAAACCGAGACGCAAAGAAACCATTACGGAAATTTTAAAAAATTCGGTAAAAAATTTGGAACGATTTCGACATCCAAAGGTATGTTGGTGTGGATTTAAATAAATGAAATGCAAAAATCTGATCCCTTGGTAATATTTAAATAAAAAAACAATTATTGTGTGATGTTCTCTACGGCAATCTTTAATTAAAATGCAAATAAATAATTTACACGAGGGAATCTTTTGTAGGCGAGGTGAAAGAATTTTTTTTCTGTGGGTGAGTCTTTGGTAGACGAGTGGAAGGGAGTCTTTATAGAGGTACTGAAGAGATTCCTTAAATAATCGTTGACACAGAAGTCAACATAGAGTCACTTGTGGGTAGTATTTATCAACGAACCAATGAGGGGTATTTTACAACTTATGAAGACAATTTTTGTAGAGCCAAGCCATAACGTATTTATAGACTAGCGGAAGAAAGGCTGATTAATACACGAACTTATTGCAAGCTGAACAATTTTTACCACGTTTTTGAGAAATCCAAAAAATAGTTTTATCAATGGTTCTGCTGCTTGTGTAACACACAGCGTCCTTTTGTCGAAAGTAACCCTTGACCAGGATCAATTCAATCCAAATCCGATTTTAAAACTGTTAATTTAACTACATTTGCAAAAAAGTCCTCCAAACCGGCCAGTCAGAAGCCGGAGGCTTTTCAACCATTAGGGATTGTTAGAGGTTGAAATCCGAATCCAAAAATGGAGTATTCCAGATATGTTAGTTAATTAGTTGCGGAATCTGTGCACCATCGACCATTATATTCCAATCGTGGCGGATATTTACATGGTGGTTTGCAAAGATCTGCGGAATCACTATCGAAATGGAACATTTTTAATTTACGTTTTTTTTTTTTTTGGAAATAGAAGCAAGGGAAGCAGGGACCGAACTTAAGGGGACCCCTCCATTCTCGGGGTCAAAATTTTTGTTGATATAATTCGAATCTATACTGATTAAAGAATGTCTCTACAAAATTTCAAGTGAAAATCTCAAGAACTCTTGAAGATATAGCCGATTTATTGTGTCAGCATCAAGTGACGGCTGAAGTGGCTTCTCAAACTTTAAACGCATTTTTCTCTAAACATTTTTTTGCGAATGGCGGGCACGATAACTCAAAAACTAATAATCCAATCGGTTCCAAATTTTGCAACGTTTCTCTGGGAGTGTATAGCTCTCATATGAACTAGGATAAAGCCATTCGGTGAAGATCTTCCTTATTTTTTAACTTGGTTTTTGGTAAAAAATCTGCGATTTTCCAAAAATATTTTTTCAAAGGTCCGCCATTTTGCTAATTTTAGAGCGAAGTCAATAATCCTAGTTCATACGAGAGCCAGACATGTACTCTTTCTAACACCGTTAGAATTTTCGGATTCCGATGTTCCAGTGAGGAGTTATCATGCCCGCCATCAAAAATAAGGACTTTTCTTTAATTACAAAAAACAACAACAAAACAATAACAAACATTTTTTGTAAATTATTTTTTTTCTATTTTAAATCTTCAAATATATATGTGCAAAGTTACAAACCTTAACAAGCATTGGTATTGATTTACCAGCCCATTGAAAATCTTGAAAAATTAATATCGAGAATGGGTGGGGTTCCCTTAATTGGAGTTTGATAAATATTGCGATGTGCAAAGTTTGGATGAAATGGTTTACTACCTTCCAAAGCTATAGTGTACAGGAACGGATAGTTGTAGGGTATATAACCTACGTATTGGTGAGGCACATTTTTGCTGTAGTAAAGGATATAAAATTCCAGTTTCATTGCCGAATAATATTTCGATTCTTGATTAGAAGAACAATTATCTGGAATAATTTAAAAATTCTGTTATCACAAAAAATCCTTTTATTTATTTTTTTTTTTTTTTTTTTTTGTAATATTTTCCTATTTTTAAATTCAAAATTCCTGATTATATTAAACAATGTTCAACCTATAAATATCATCAAAAAAATGCTAATACTATTTATTTTGCTTGACTTTCTTTCGTGTAGATGTTGCAGGTCATTCACACAGTTGAAGAATCGTCTGACACTTTAGCATTTGCCACAGAACCTGTTATGGCCAGTTTGGCAAATATTTTGGCATATCATGTAAGTATTTGAAACTGTGTTCTATTAAAAAACATACAGACATATTTATGTGGATGTGTAAAAAAATCAGGTTTTTATTATATGGACATGTGTATGTTGTAGACTATTCAAAAAACAAAATAACCTATGTCATATCTATTTTAAGATTTTTCTAAAAAAATTGTCGAAAATCATATGGCATTTCTTGTGGTATATTATGAAGTGGTATTATTATGTTATTGGTATGTAAATAAATATGTTGGACAAAAATGTTGATGAGGATACATATGTATCCTAACATATGTAGAATATATCTGAACCGATTTCAGGAAAACTTGCCGGAGACTAATTTATATTACATCAGTACGTTGTGTCAATCGGCCTAGCTATGGATCTTTTCACGAAGCTTAGCAACATCATTCTAGACTTAATTCAGTACCCTATACCAAAATTCGTGCAAATCGAAAGATAAATAGGGACTTTGGTGCACCAATTACATAAAATCGGATGAAAATATATATGGGAGCTATATCTAAATCTGAACCAATTTTCACGAAACTTAGCACACGTCATTCTAGCCCTAATTCAGTACGCTATGACAAATTTCGTGCAAATCGAAGGATTTTCAGAGATTTTGGTGCACCATTTACCTATAATCGGATGAAAATATTTATGGGAGATATATCTAAATCTGAGCCGATTTTCACGAAACTTTGCACACATTATTATAGACGCAATTCATTACGCTATGTCAAATTTTGTGCAAATCGAAAGATATATATTGACTTTGGTGCACCGGTGCATAAAATCGGACGAAAATATATATAGGAGCTATATATAAATCTGGACCGATTTCCAGGAAACTTAACACACATCATTCTAGACATAATTCATTACGCTATGCCAAATTTCGTGCAAATCAAACGATATATAGGGACATTGGTACACCATTTACCTTAAATCGGACGAAAATATATATGGGAGCTATATCTAAATCTGGACCGATTTTTCCCAGTTTCAATAGGGTTCGTCCTTGGGCCAAATAAGTGACATATCCCAAATTTCATCCAATTCGGATCATAAATGCGACCTGTACTTTGTTTACAATTTAACATGGACAGACAGACGGACGGACATGCATAAATCGACTTAAAAAGTGATTCTATGCATATTCTAAAAAGGAAACATGTGTCCATCTCGTTCCCTTTTGCCTGTTACAAACACATGCATAAAAGACATAATACCCTGTACCACAGTGATGTGAAGGATAGAAAAAGTACTGGAACAGACCATATGTTAAAGAATTTGGAAGCCTCTTGTTTTTAACAGTTTGTTATGTTTAAAACCAGTAAGGAAAGTAGTAAAGTCGGACGGGGCCGACTATATGATACCCTTCACCACTTTGAGCATATTCAACAGATGAAATAGAAGCTATATCTAAATCTGAACCGATTTCAACGATTTCAGGAAACTTAACACACATCATTCCAGACCTCATCCATAACGCAGTGCCAAATTTCGTGCAAATCGAAAGATATATAGGGACTTTGGTAGACCATTTACATTAAATCGGACGAAAATATATATAGGAGCTATATCTAAATCTGAACCGATTTTCAGGAAACTTGACACACACCATTCTATAACTAATTCATTACGCTGTGCCAACTTTGGTGCAAATCGAAAGATATATAGGGACATTGGTGCACCATTCAGATTAAATCGGATGAAAATATATATGGGAGCTATATCTAAATCTGGACCGATTTTCAGGAAACTTAACACACACCATTATATTCCTAATTGATTACGATGTGCCAACTTTCGTGCAAATCGAAAGATATATAGGGACTTTGGTGCACCATTTAAATTAAATCGGACGAAAATATATATGGGAGCTATATCTAAATCTGAACCGATTTTCAGGAAACTTAACACACATCATTCTATACCTAATTCAGTACGCTATGCCAAATTTCGTGGAAATCGAAAGATATATAGGTACTTTGGTGCCACGTTTACCTTAAATCGGACGAAAATATATATGGGAGCTATATCTAAATCTGAACCGATTTTCACGAAACTCAGCACACACCATTATGGACCTAATTCAGTACACTATGCCAAATTTCGTGCAAATCGAATGATATATAGGTACTTTGGTGCCTATATCGGGCGAAAATATATATGGGAGCTATATCTAAATCTGACCCGATTTTCACGAAACTCAGCACACATCATTTTGGACCTCATTCAGTACGCTATGCCAAATTTCGTGCAAATCGAATGATATATAGGTACTTTGGTGCCTATATCGGGTGAAAATATATATGGGAGCTATATCTAAATCTGAACCGATTTTTCCCAATTTCAATAGGGTTCGTCCTTGGGCCAAATAAGTGACCTATGCCAAATTTCATCCAAATCGGATCAAAAATGCGACCTGTACTTTGTTCACAAAAATACATGGACGGACAGACGGACGGACGGACGGACAGACGGACATGCGTAAATCGACTCAGAAAGTGATTCTATGCATATTCTCAAAAGGAACCATGTGCCTATCTCGTTTCCTTTTGCCTGTTACAAACATATGCACAAAGACATAATACCCTGTACCACAGTGTGGTGAAGGGTATAAAAATTGACGCAAAGGCAACTCAGGTCGTTACCTCACATGAAGCTCTTTTTTTACAGATTTTATCGTTACAAAATCAAACACTGCAAAACCAACGCTCAACTATTGTTCATTGTTATGTATAATAATTATATGTATCTTACATCTAAACAATGTTGACAAAGCTCTTAAAAAGGGTTCATATTGCCCTGCACAGACATGTAATTTGAAAAGTTTTTTTTTTCTGTTGCCCGGTTTTTCTACTTCCGTTGTCACAACTAAAGTCATTTGGTTACAGACATGTCGTGAACAGACATTTACAAAATTGTATATTAGGTTGTTCCGATACTATAGGATAAAAACTATCCAAAATAATAATTATAAAAATTGGAGATACATTTTTGGTCATATGTAAAAACCTAATTGATAAAGTAATCGGAAAAGTCATAGGAACATTTCCGGGAAAAAGTCAATCAACGCCGAAGATTTGTATTTCTTTAAATGTACTTAGATAAGTGTAGTTATGGAAAAAAAATACAAAGAAAGACGACATCTGTTATTATAAACTGCAGTAAAGTCGGGCGAGTGGCACTGAAATCGTTGGCGAAAAGGGAAAGGACAAGTTTTGACAAAAACATAAGGCCAATTGTGAGTGATGTGCCAGAAAGAGTGGACCGATGGGTCCCAGCTTTGGATTCGCTCTCGCCTATGTAACAATATTACGATGGGCAAATATTGGATGAAATTTTGATATTCCGTACGCTTTATATAAGTTTTACAAAGTTTTAAAATGTTTACCCTTTGTGAGGGGGGTACTAGAAGAAATAGACCGACAATATACAGTTATGGTGAAAATATTAGTTTGTGCAAAGTTTGATTTAAATCGGATGGAATGTTACCACTATATTTTAAAATAATTGTACAGCGAAATATTTACAATTTTGTTGGATAGGTATCGGAAGGAGTGGACAGACTTTCCCCATCTTCGAACTTAATTTGTGTTTGAAATAAATTTAGATCAAATTCCGACATGTTATTAGCCAAATATTGGATTTATAAAATATTAAAAATGTTGTTCGTTCGCATTATTTTATTAAATTAACTTTTCAGCAAATTTTTGCCTCATTAGCTGAATGTATAATTACGCTGAATTTTTTTTTTTTTTTATTTTTACTAAGGAACAGGAATCGGTTAAAAAAATTAGTAAGGAAAGTAGTAAAGTCGGACTGGGCCGACAATATGATACCCTTCACCACTTTGGGTATATTGTACATATGTATGCTAACAATTGCTTGTATATGTTCCCTCTTTCTCCAACCTATTCTAACTTTAATTTCATTCGAGCAGATTTGGAGCCGCCTGTGTAACATGGGAAAAATTTATGGAAAACGATTTATAGCAAAATGTATACACGCTATTCGGTACGCCCCGTTGTTAAAAATATAACCTATATGTGGCAGCTATATCTAAATCTGAACCGATTTTCACGAAAATTAACACACATCTTTCTAGACTTAATTCAGTAAGCTAAGCCAAATTTTGAGCAAATCGAAGCATATAAAGTGACTTGGGTGCACCATTTACCTTAAATCGGGCGAAAATATATATGGGAGCTATATCTAAATCTGAACCGATTCTCACGAAACTTGACACACATCATTCTAGACCTAATTCATTACGCTGTACCAAATTTCGTACAAATCGAAACATATATAGGGACCGTTTACAGTAAATCGGACGGAAATGTATATGAGAGCTTTATCTAAATCTGAACCGATTTCCTCCAATTTCAATAGGGTTCGTCCTTGGGCCAAATAAGTGAACTGTGCCAAATTTCATCCAAATCGGGTCATAAATGCGATCTGTACTTTGTTCACAAAAATACATGGACGGACAGACGGACGGACGCACAAAGACATAATACCCTGTACCACAGTGTGGTGAAGGGTATAAATAGAATAGAACGATGAAACCATATAAACATAGATTTCTGGTATTTGGGGACCCTATTTAATCTATTATAGATTTTATTATTAATTCAAGAAAATAATTTTTCCAATGACGAGTTTTCCTTTTCATATTCTAAATAGACTTCCAAATTGTCTTTATATATCGAAGGAATTTCCTACACACCCAACGTCAACATTCAAAGGAATATTCTGTATTCATTTATTTATTTTTTTTTAGAAGATCCTTTTTTCAAAATACCAAATTCCTACCATACATTCAGACATCAATAGCGAAGGGTGCCCAATTTGTGGTTGGTTGCTTTTTCTTCTAGGCTCTTATATTTTTCAGAAATAAATAAATTTTACTAATTTTTGAATTCTCCAAAATTGTGTACCCACGAGCAATTACGTTCCATATATTCCAAATAATGCTATACAAACCAAAAATCAACATCTTCTTTTCAGGATCACGTTTGTACAATAGCTTTGCCACTACTATATTTATACCCTTCACCACAGTGTGGTACAGGGTATTATGTCTTTGTGCATATGTTTGTAACAGGCAAAAGGAAACGAGATAGACCCATAGTTCCTTTTGAGAATATGCATAGTATCACTTTCTGAGTCGATTTACGCATGTCCATCTGTCTGTCCGTCCATGTATTTTTGTGAACAAAGTACAGATCGCATTTATGACCCGATTTGGATGAAATTTGGCACATTTCCCTTATTTGGCCCAAGGACTAACCCTATTGAAATTGGAGGAAATCGGTTCAGATTTATATATAGCTCCCATATATAGTTTCGTCCGATTTTAAGTAAATGGTGCACCAAAATCCCTATATATCTTTCGATTTGCACGAAATTTGGCATAACGTACTAAATTGAGCCTAGAGTGATGTCTGCCAAGTTTCGTGAAAATCGGTCCAGATTTAGATATAGTTCCCATATATAGTTTCGTCCGATTTAATGTAAATGGTGCACTAAAGTCCCTATATATATCGATTTGCCTGAAATTTGGCATAACGTATTTAATTGAGCCTAGAGTGATTTATGCCAAGTTTCGTGAAAATCGGTCCAGCTTTAGATAAAGCTTCTATATATATAGTTTCGTCCAATTTTATGTTAAAGGTTCACCAAAGTCCTTATAAATCTTTGGATTTGCACGAAATTTGGCATGGCGTACTGAATTTAGTCTATAATAACATGTGCTAAATTTTTAGATATAGATTCCATATAAATTTTCATCCGATTTAATAAAAATAGTGCATCGAAGTCCCTATATTTCTTTCGATTTCCACGAAATTTGGCATATCGTTCTGAATTAAGTCTATAATGATGTGTGGTAAGTTTCGTGAAAATCGGTGCAGAATTAGATATAGCTTCCATATATATTTTAGCCCGATTTAATGTTAATCGTGCAAATCGAAATATATATAGATACTTTATATATTTCGATTTGCACGAAATTTAGCATACTGAATTGAGCCTGGAATGATGTGTGCTGAGTTTCGTGAAAATCGGTTCAGATTAATATATATATATATGGGCAATATTGCCAATTTTTTAACATAGCTGAAGCGGAGGTTCATCCCTTTATAACTCGGGAACTACTTAAGTATATGAAAAAAAGTGAATAGTTTTGGGTTAATTGATCTGTCGTTGCAAACTGTTCATGATACTGACCTCCAATCTTTATGTTGGTGGAAGCTGTGTCTACTTTAATGTAAAAAAATGTGTAAAAACAGGTTGAGGCGAACCAGTTTTTTTATGTTCTCTATCGATTTGTGACTAAGCCACTCATTGCACGGTCTTCGTGTCAAAATAAAACTAGAAGCCAACAAAATGGGGACTACGGCCCTTATGTATCATTTTTAAAAATTTTAACTGCATCTACCTTTAAATGATGCTGACATTTTGATGCTCGATTTTGAGTGTTTTTTTAATGTTGCTTCTAGCTTTAATACGCAAACAGGAATTTATAAAAATCGATTATAAGATTATTGTAGTCGTGAATCTGCGTTATCTGATATGTATTTTGTGTATGTAGTATGCACAGCTTCAGAGTAATACTCATCCGAAGGTGTGAATTTTGTGCGATCAAATTTTTAAAAAACCTATTTTTTGGGCCAAATTTTTAGATCTGTCAACTGAATGATATGGGTACCCGCGATCAATAAGGTTTTTTACGTTTCGGATGATATAAAATCTTCTTCGTGAAAATCCATCTACTAGAACGGCGGGAACTGGCCTTCCAAAAACACGAAATTTGGCAAAAAATGTTTTTGAAAATATCGCGGATTTATTTGCGTTTTCTGTGTATCATTTGCGCTTCAATAAATGACCTCAAATGGATTTTGATCTTTTTCGAAAAGAGAACTTTAAAAACTTCACGCGAAAGAGAGATGTACGCAATTTATCTCAAAAATAGATTGTGCTGGCACATCCATGGTTCTTAATGGACCACATTGAAATCGGTATAGATCGATGTATTTTTTTAGGGTGCACACCGAAATCGGATGCGCGTTTATGGCATATGGAGTTTTTGGAAATTATTCGCGTTTTACGATTTTTAGGGTACTTCAATGTAACGTGTGGCACATCTTAGCCGTCAAATGAAATTTCGCAAAATATATATGGATTGGAAGATAAACATCAATACTTCATGGAAACCGCATGCGCATCAAATGATTTTGAGAATTACGCGATTTAGACGCAATTAATCTCAAAAATAGTGTGATCGGGCACATCCATGGTTCTTAATGGACCACATTGAAATCGGTATAGATCGATGTATTTTTTTAGAATTCACACCGAAATCGGATGCGCGTTAATGACATTTGGAGTTTTTGGAAATTATTCGCGTTTTACGATTTTTTGGGTACTTCAATGTAACGTGTGGCACATCTTAGCCGTCAAATGAAATTTCGCAAAATATATATGGATTGGAAGATAAACTTCAGTACTTCCTGGAAACCGCATGCGCATCAAATGATTTTGAGAATTACGCGATTTACACGCAATTTAAAATGTATATTTCAAAATATTATATTATTTTAGGATTCATTCCTATTTATAGAATTCTAAGATTTATAGGAAGGGTCTTGATATAATCCGAAAGGCGTATACTTATACACAAAAAGTGATTATTATTATATATGTCAATTTTTCGGCGAAATTCGGGTAAAATAGCAGAATAACCCCAACATTTTTTTCTGAAATTTCTTGTATACAATTAAAAAAATAAATATGATGACATTATTTTTTCGAACCAAAAACCAATATTTTTCCTCAATATCTTGTTTTGTTGTCGCTTTGATTTAGAAACCACTACACGGACTTGTGTGATTTTGATATCATTTGATTCATCATGGTGTTTAGATTATGTAGATATTTTTAAATTATTTTTTAGGTGTATGTATGTCATTAATATATTGAATATATTGACGTAATCTCCTACATTTTTATTATTTTTCTCATATTTCGCGAAGATGTGCAACTTTTTCGCGATTATTATAATATATTCATATTCTTATTTTACGGAGGAAGATATATATCAACGCTTTTGGTCAATATAATAAACGGCGTAATTTTAAGATTTTTTCTTATGCCCAAAATTAAAACCTCGATAACTTTTGCGCGCATCAACCAAAAATTTGATCGCGAACGGTTTCGGAGTCAGAACATTTTTCTCTATATGTGTACCAAAAATCATTGATGTGTCACAAAAACAAAAAAGCTGATTTTTTGAAAATGGAATATTAAAAAATTGGCAATATTGCCCATATATATATATATATATATATAATTTAATGTAAATAATGTATCAAAGTTCTAATATTGCATAGATCGATTGATTTTAAGTAATTGACGCACCAAGGAACTAATATATGGTTGATAGGAACAAAACGTACTGAAATTAGTATAACCCAACCTGTGACAAGTTTCGTTGAAATCGGTTCATATTTGGATATAGATTCCACATATTAAATCATTGCTTTCAAAAGTATTGCAGAAATTTTATCCTCTTGGGTTTCGCAATGTTCTCAATTTACCAATTTTCCGAATTCATGTCGAACAACTCTATTATTTAATAGAGATATTACAAAATGTTTTATGCTTGTACAAAAAAAAATAATACCCCTAGACTAACTATGACATTTGGCATGTTTTACATTTTTTTGTTTTCCATTGTACAAAAACATTTTTTGAAGCATTGTTGGCATATCTCGTGTCAGTCCAAGAAATAATCCCCACTACTGTAACCAACACAAGCAACCACATAAAAACCAACATGTTGAATATTTCAACATGTTGTTGATGTTATTTAAAAACTTTTTCTTTTTTTTAGGGAGATCAAAGATAACAACAGCAACAACATAAGAAATTTGTTTTATTTTTTAATTGTAAAACTGGACCAGTAAGTCATTCGTTTGACCCAGTTCTTTTTTTTAAACCAGACTAAACAAATAAATAGACATGGGTTTTGAACAAAATATTTTATGAAAATGAATTTTCCAGCCTAGCATTTAATTTTTGTTCTTTTGTTTTATGGAAACCATAAATGGTCTGTCATTTATTTGTTGTTATATGTATATGCAAAATAAAGTAATTCTATTTTAGTGCTATTTAAATAAATATTCTATCTTTGTTTTCTTTCCGTTTGATTCCAGGAATCCAAAACCTATGAAAATGTTATGCCACCAAACTCGGGAAATAATCAAAACGCCCAACCCAATCAACCTGCAGTACCACAGAGACCTGCACACGCCAAAGAGTATACATTTTTGGATATTGAATTGAAGTGTGGATTTTTACAGGTAAATAAATAATTTTGCTAATATAATAACCAACAACAAATACAAAAACCAGTGAGCGGAGCAGTATAGTCAGACGGGGTCGACCACCATCATACCCTACACAACTTCCACGAAAATATAACTTTCTGTGGTTCTATATTCTGAGCATGGGCAATATTCCGCGATATTTGCACCCTCTTCACCGACTAGAGGTCAACCAATATTAAAAATATTCAGTACAGCCCTTCTAATTACCTGTCCAGATGCCCTCGACCGTGGGTTGTGTTGTTATGTTCGGCTTATAATTCAAAAAAAAAAAAAAACCAAAAACAAAAAAAAAATTTTCGGTCCACTTCATACGAAAATTATAATCTGATCATCACCGAAAATTATAAGCGTTGTCCTTGACCAGAAACGGAACCTCATGGAACATTTTAAAGCGATCAGTGCTATATTTCCGCCCTCTAGTGTGGTAATGGGTTACTAAATAATATATGAATACGTAAGCACCAGTAAAAATTTAAAAGTAACTCCCATACGACAATATAATTGGTATCAATTTAAAGGTCATCTTGGATATACTATCAATTTCTCAGGTCAATGTCCTTCAGGGGTAAATATATACGCTATAGAATACACATTTTTTTAATTTTTCACACAAAAGGCAAGTTCCGATCTTAATCAAAACAGTCATGCTTAGTCTTTGGCCCGATCCCCTTCTCCATGTAAAAATTCACGATGTTTGGGCCATAATTGCGGCCTCTATAACGACCAAAAAATCAGACAAAAATAACGTTTTTGCTCCATTTCATATATATTCTTTAAAACATCCACGCCTGCATTGGTCGTGAATCTATCTAGATCTATCCATAAACATATCACTCGTTTGCTACAATGGGACAAAATAATGTAAATCGACTTCAAACGGGAGCTATATCTACATCTCAACCGATTTTCACGAAACTTGGCACCCATCATTCTGGACTAAATTTACATTAAATCGGACGAAAATATATATGGGAGCTATATCTAAACCTTGACCGAATTTCACGAAACTTGACCGACATCACTCTAGGCTCGATTAAGTACGTTATGCCAAATTTCGTGCAAATCGAAGGATTTATAGGGACTTTGGTGCACCATTTACATCAAATCGGACGAAACTATATATGGGAACTATATCTAAGTCTGGACCGATTTTCTCGAAACTTGGCACATATCATTCTAGGCTCAATTCATCACGTTATACTATATTTCGTGCAAATCGACAGACATATATGGTCTTTGGTGCACCATTATCCTTAAATCGGACGAATATATATATAGGAGCTATATCTAAATCTGAACCGATTTTTCCCAATTTGAATAGGGTTCGTCCTTGGGCCAAACAAATGAACTGTGCCATATTTCATCCAAATCGGATTACAAATGCAACATGTACTTTACAATTTAACACCAACAGACGGACAGGCGGACGGACGGACATGCATAAATCGACTCAGAATGTGATTCTATGCATATTCTCAAAAGGAACTATGGGTCTATCTCGTTTCCTTTTGCCTGTTACAAACATATGCACGACGACATAATACCCTGTACCACAGTGTGGTGAAGGGTATAAAAATACACGTCCATATTAGATTTTTAAAAAATATTGTTTAAAAAATTCGAGGTCTGGATAGGTACATGCAAAAATATTATTCAAATCATTCATGCCTATACTGGTCCATGAATAAATATTTAAAAAAATCACTTCCAAAAACATTCGTTAAAATCTACTCCTGTATTGGTCCTTAAAAAACATTCTAAAAACCCAATGCTTGAATTGGTCTATGAACAATTATTTTAATAATTTTGGGCTATACTTGTCCTTGAATAAATATTATGACTACTTTGACTACTCACTACTTTTACAATATTTTTTACAAAATTTCAAGCTTTATTAAGCCTTCAAAACACATGTTTAATTTATTTCATGCTTGTATTGGTATTTTGGAAAATTCTTGCAAAAAAAAAACGATACTTTTATTAGTCTTTGAGAAACAGTATCGATTATTATCCCTACAAAGATGATTAAATTATTAAAAATGTTGGTCAGTATCGATCCTCCTATATTCTTTAAAAATCCTGTTTATTTTTATTTCATTTCAGTTAGTGGAGGCGATAACATTCCTTCATTATTCGGGGCATGTTATACATCGGAACATATGTCCGGCATCAATATTTATAACAAAAAGGGGTACCTGGAAATTAGGTGGCTTAGAATTTTTAGGTAAGTCTATTTCTTGTTTTACAATTTAACGTAATTTGATAAATTAGCATTCTAATATTTTTATTAATTCAATAATATTTTTATTCTTCCTCCCTTGCAGAAAGAATGAATGAGACTGATATCAATGACTTTATAACATGTCAACCATGGACAACTCGCATATCAAAAATGGCACAGCCAAATTTGGATTTTATGCGTAAGTATTGTAACATTGCAAAGCCCTGCTAAGGCTCTGCAAACATTGTCACCTGATGATTTCCATAATATTTAACATCAACAAAACAAAATGTCCGTGGAATAAAAGTTTCAAATTCTTTACTTTTTCTTTTTCCCTTTTTTCTTCTCATCCTCTTTTTTGCCTTGAAAAAAAATCGACAGCACCTGAAACACAATTACATTCGAAATGTAGTCTTCTCAGTGACATGTTCTCTTTAGGTTTAGTTATTTGTGCTGTCTTTAATAGAGGTCGACCGATAATACAATCGGGAAATGTACCCGCCAACTATATCAAACAATTGGAAGCGGTAAGTAGACACTTGATGTACACAGACATATTCATTTTGAGACACTCTATTAAGTTTTATTTTTTCAGCATTTATTTGAATGGTATATTTTATAAGACAGTGGTAAAAAACTGCTGTAATTCTGATAAGATCTTCCAAAAATGAGAAAACTTTTTTTGCAGACAACATAATTCATTAACGCTACGGCTCTGTGCTTATAACTCATTACTGTGGCCTTAAAAATATACACGTTTTTTTCTGTAAAATGTTTATAAAAAACAAGCCGCGCTTATTTTTGGACCTTGAAAAAATATTCCTATAAAGTCCAGGTCTGTATTGTTGTTTAACAATCACACGTCTGTATTGCAGCTTGAAAGAATACTCTATAAAAATGTCACGCCAATATGGACCCTGGAAAAAATACTATAAAAATGTCACGCCAATATGGACCCTGGAAAAAATACTCTAACAAATCCGCGACGGCATTTGCCCTTGAAAGAATACTCTTAAAAAGCTTCACTTCTATACTGATCCTGGAAAATATTACTTAGAGTAACTTCGGGTAATGTGGACCACCATTTTCTTTTTTTGATATTGTGGGCGTACCAACGGTAAAAAGTGAAAACAAATTGTTTTCACAACTTAGTAGATTTGTTGGCTAAATATATTCCAGGTCAAAAATTATATATATTTGTCCATAAAAATGTTATTGCATTATATTTCAAAAAACTCTAAACTGCAAATAAAAATAACTTGGCGGGTAATGTGGACCAGTATGTGTGGGTAATGAGGATCAGTAAGTTAAAGGTAGGTTGTGGATTAACTGTGATAAATTTCAATTTATTGCACTCTTGGGTAACAATGAATGCAAAAATATATGGGTCCATGTTTTGGAATAGCCCCCATTTAAGGGTACCACCCCATTTGCGGTATTTTTAAGGTCCTTGCTTCATTATCCAACCGAGGCACCTATAATTTCGGATATCGAGTTTTCAGAGGATAGAATACCTCCTCGCATATTAAATGCGCCCTTGTTTCGAACTCGTCTTCATGAAAATGTCCCACTTTTTATAGTGGTCCACATTACCCGACATTGAATATTTTTATTTAAAAATAATTATCGGCTTCAAAAATGAATAAAAATTTAAAAATAACCGAAAGTAATTACAGATAAACGTGTATTTTTGTTAAAGAAAACAAGAAAACCACATAACCTCTTTATATTCGAGAAAAACAAAATGTTCGACTATTTTACAAAATCGTTCGACTATTGTGCTAAAAAATTTTCAAATCACACTTTTACAATCAGAGCTACATTTTCACTTACTAAATTTTCAACATTGCAATTATTTATTAAAAACCAAGTTTGATGGTTGTTTTCACTAATTAGGAAAACATTTATCGAGGCGGCATTGGCATATTTCAAGCATTTTCTTAGATATGGGGGGTGGTCCACATTTGACGCATGGTCCACATTACCAGAAGTTACTCTAATAAATCCACGTTTGCATAGGTCCTTGAAACAATATTCTTAAGAAGTTCACCCCTATATTAGTCCTAGAATATATATTATTAAAAGAGTCCACACCTGTATTGGTTCTTGAATATATATTCTTTAAAAACTCCACACCAGTATTTGTCATTGAAAGAATATCCTTTAACAAATCTACGCCTATATTGATATCCTCACTGAAAAATTTGTCCTTTGAAAAAGTATTTTTCAAAAATAGGTGGTCCTTGAAAAAATATTCTTTAAAAATCCACCAATATAGGTGTTTTTTTGTATACCCTTCACCACAGTGTGGTACAGGGTGTTATGTCTTTGTGCATATGTTTGTAACAGGCAAAAATAATCGAAATAGACCCATGGTTCCTTTTGAGAATATTTATAAAATCACTTTCTGAGTCGATTTATGCATGTCCGTCTGTCTGTTCGTCCGTCTGTCCATGTTAAATTGTAAACAAAGTACAGGTCGCATTTATGATCCGAATTGGATGAAATTTGGCACAGCTCATTTGTTTGGCCCAACGACAAACCCTATTGAAGTTGGGGAAAATCGGTTCAGATAGCTCCTATATATAGTTCCGCCCGATTTTAGGTAAATAGTCTACTAAAGTTCCTATATATCTTTCCATTTGCACGAAATTTGGCAGAGCGTAATAAATAAGATCTAGAATGATGTGTGCAAAGTTTCGTGAAAATCGGTTCAGATTTAGATATAGTTCCCATATATAGTTTCGCCCGATTTAAGGTAAATTGGTTAATTGTGTACCAAAGTCCCTATATATCTTTCGATTTGCACGAAATTTTGCATAGCGTAATGAAAAAGATCTAGAATGATGTGTGCAAAGTTTCGTGAAAGTCGGTTCATATATAGCTTCGTCCGATTTTAGGTAAATAGTACACTAAAATACCTATGTATCTTTAGATTTGCACGAACTTTGGCACAGCGTAGTGAATAAGATCTAGAATGATGAAATTAGTCTCTGACAAGTTTCCCTGCAATCGGTTCAGATATACATATATATATATATATGTAGGATATACCCAAAGTGGTGAAGTCGGCCCAGTTTGACTTTACTACTTTCCTTACTTTTTGTTTTTATACCCTCCACCATAGTATGGAGGGTATATTAATTTTGTTTTTCCGTTTGTAACTCATCGAAATAATTATTTCCGAACCTATAAAGTATATATATTTTTGATCAGCGTAAAATTCTATGACGATATAGCAATTTCCGTCTGTCCGTTTGTCTGTTGTAATAACTCTAGCGTCTAAACGAATATATATAGATCGCCAAAATTTTGCATAGAGTCGTATTTTGTCTGGAGGCAGGTCAAGTTCGAAGATTTATCAGTCCACGTTTAGGCATAGCTCCCATATAAGGGTACCCCCCAATTTTCGGTATATTTGGGAGCGTTGAGTTCTTATTGGGTAGCAAATCTCTGCACCAAAAATTGTAAATATGGGTCCATATTTTCGGATAGCCCCCATATAAGGGTACCACCCAATTTTGCGGAATTTTCGGGGGTTTTGTCGCATTTTTCGACCGAATTCGCTGAAATTTGATACATTGCGTTGTGGGTACCAAATTTCATCACTAAAAATTATAAATATAGGTCCACTTTTTCTGGTAGCACCCATATAAGGGTATCTCCCAATATCCGGTATTTGGGGGGGTTTGACCGGATTTTCACCGAATTTGCTGTAATATAGTAATTTCAGTTATTATTGGATAGCAAATCTCTCCACAAAAAATTATAAATGTAGGTCAATTTTTTCGTGTAGCCCCCATATAAGGGTACCCCCAATTTTCGATATTTTGAGGTTCTTGAGAGCGTTTTTTAACCGAATTCGCTAAAATTTGGTATTTTGTAGTCGTATATGGTAACAAATCTCTCCACCAAAAATTATTAATATTCACCCCTTTTTAGTGGTAGTCCCCATATAACGCCCTTTTTTATATTAAAATAGTTATCTGATCTGTTCCGTGTGTTGGGGTTGGGTAGTCGTTACGGGGAACAGCCAATTTTTACCCTACAAAGACTATTTAGCCATCTGTTGTAAGCTTTTCGCCTTCTAAAGATATTGTGATAAAAGAAAACTCAAGCATGACGATAATGAAATATATCGGCAGACATTTAGGCATCTCCTCAATATAGTGATACCTCCTGAAGGAAAGAATTGAGATAAACAATTAAATGTTGAGTTCAATATTGGCATATACCGGTCATTAATTAGGCATAGCCCTCATATAATGATATCACCAAATATTCACTATTTCCTACACTATGTAATTAATATTGGTCCTTTGGTAACTTTTTCGATATTACAGATTTTAGCAAAAATCCCCATTAAAAATTGCTGAAGTTTGTATTTGGTGTACATAATGGTTTACATAAATCGGTTTGTAGAATTATAGGTATATGCCCACTTTTTGGTATGTTCCCTATATTTTCATTGCATGTATCTGTCAGTATAACTATGGTGGAGGGTATCCAAAGTTCGGCCGAACTTAACGCTTTTTCACTTGTTGTTTTTTTTTTTTTTTTTTGAAATTCACACATATAAATTGTCTTTGAATAAATATTCTTCAAAAAAATCCACGCTTATGGATAGTCCAGGAAAATATATACTTTAAGAAATCCTTGTAGTCCTTGAAAAAATATTCTTTAAAAAATGGTCCTTGCATAATAAAATATGACTGACATTTATGACTGATCCTTGTAATAAATTCCTTAAAAATATTCACACTTGTTCACTCATTAAAACATATCATTTAAGATCTTCTCGTCTGCATAGGTTCTTGCAAAAATAGTCCTCAGAATTTACATAGATTTTAAAAAGTTCACAAGTACCAATACAGGTACTTTTGAACTTTTTAAAATCTCTCTTCTAAAATATTCCCAATTTACTTTGAAATTTAGCAACTGTCGGTGTATGTTAAACACTGTCGAAATGGTAATGCCTCCACAGACCACCATGGCCACAAGCAACAAGTAATACGCATTAAAATAATCATTTCAGAGATATTTAAGACCGTGTCGCAGCTACGGTGGTTACGGTTGTGTACGTACACATTTCGACACTCCCACTCCCACTTCCACTCCCACCACCACCACTACTACTACTACGACAACTACTTGAAAAGTTTACTCTCAACCAGGATTATTGTGCCGCCATCATCGCTTTACAACATTCGACAAAACTCAACCTCCGGCCGGCCAACAACAGACACAACTTAATACCTCCACTTGACATTGCAAGAACTTTAGAACAACAGCAAAAAAAAAAGTTCGTAAAATCTCTGAGTTGTTTGCATACTTGAAACACCTTGCGACGATAACGGCGACAACACAAGTTTTCTTATTTTAGCATTTCCTTTGATTTACTAAGGAGAAAAATATATATTTTTGTTCATGGCTTTTTCTTGGCTTTCTTTTGGGGAAGCCAACCAACCACCCAGGGAACAAACAGAGCAACCACTAACCAAGTAAAAAACCCAACAAGTCAATCTAG